AATAATATAATGTAAAAAATACTGTTTTAAACCTACTAGAGTTTGCTTCCACTTGCTTTAATTGAATTTAATTAAGAACTCATCAATCTTGAAACTTCTTTGAGTAAGACGAAGAAAGATCGGAAGCTTCTTCTAGCAGTAGATCGACTCGTTTTAAACAAAATTATTTATATTCAGTGATCGTAGCTCCGAAGATCACCTGAATTCCCATTTAATAGGAGCACTATTCCTACAAGTAAACACCAACAATTCTTTTAATAGTAGCTAGTAATTCTTAATCCCATGCATTGGCTTTAACTGTGTGTCTTACGAATCTATAATCGATCGTTTTTTGTACCTTATCTCAATCTGCCGTATACAGGATAAACAAAAAAAATTTGAGCTAAGGCCCACACGCAGACTTCTCAAATGTGGCATATGGTCGAGTTCTATTGGAAATGGATAGATTTTTAATATTTGAAAATTAAATGCAATAATTAATAAGTAAATTGATAATCATTCATAAAGATTTTTATAGAGCAATAAAAACTTAAGCTGACTTTAATGAGTCGTTCTGCTTGAGTGGTACAGTTGTGTTTGAATTTGACTAATTAATTGATAATAGCGTTGGCTGAACTGCGACTGGCAGTGCCACTGCGACTGGGAATGAGAATCGAAATGGGTTTTTTTGGACTTTGGGCAGCTTGGGAGCCTGAAAACCGTTTTAATGGGCCATCAAACAGCAGCAGCATCAGCATCAGCAGGAGGAGCATCAGCTGCCGCCTAATCATTGTTTATGTTTATGACGGCCAAGCCAAGCCAGCAGTTGATGCTGCAAGTGGCAAATGGCAGGTAGCAAGAGGCAAGTGGCAAGTAGCAAGTAGCAAGTAGCAAGTGGCAAGTGACGGCAGGCATTACGCAATCGCAATCGAGTGACCGACTCTGGAGTGCTAAGTGTGGAGTGTTCCCTGTGCGGCCTTCTCCATGCAAGTGAAATTTATGCAAATGGCTTTGGCAATTCGTTTGCATTGCGCATTTGCGCAATTACCTGACCAACTGGCCAAATGATACGGCGGCAGAGGCAGCGGCAGCGGCAGAGGCAGCATCACCTGCTGTGTGTGGCATTCGATTGAACTCGAGTGTGCCAGTTACGCCGGATAGCGAACGATTGCGGCGTACACGTGACAAACAATTGACAGCGGGCGGCAAAAATTGAAATTGAAAAGCGTTCGAAATTGAAATGCGCCCACAGCTACAACACCAACACCGAACCCACCAACAACAACACCAGCATCTGCAACAACAACAACAATTGAGCACTGGACATGCAAATAAGCAGATCTAGACGAAATAAAAAAAAAAAAAAAGCAACTGAAGAAAACATTTCGTCGTGGCTTGCTCAATTGTGGATGCTGTTTGCATTGTCTTTGACAATAGGCACAGTGGTTCAATGTCCATTTGCATGGCAAGTGCTTGTCAGCTGATTGATGTCAAATCATCAGATTCATCTGCTAGTTAAATGTGGTTGTGCTTTAGCCTTTGCTAAATTTAATCAGCAGTTGGCAACAATTTGAAAAATCATATCTGGTAAAGTTTTCTTGTACAGCTGTCCATTTCAGCAATACCCAATTATTACAGAGAAACTAACTCTACTAAATTCCCATACAAGAGTTGAGCAGCATTTAAAGTTGTGCCTTGTCGATGTTCCTTAATGTTGACTAGCTAGATTTCAATCAAAGATTCCCATAGATATCTTCTACCCATTCTGTCAAAATTAACCCACAGATTTCGATATCTCTAAACGATAATTTAGTGTTACATAAAAAATTTATTTGACTGCTTGTCAAGAGTTTTGTGCCAGAATAAATCTGTTGCACTCAAAGCACAACGTTCATTCAGAAAGTAAATTTAATAGTATATCTACTCTTGCTGTGATTCAACAAACACTTCACATTAGCTTTCAGAAATTCAAAATGTGCACACATCAAACAATATCTCTCCCAAATTTTATTTAAAATTGAAAAGTGTTTACTTTTGCATTCAAGTCTTGAATTCCTTCTTTTAATGGTAATCGATTGCGACACAGAATTTATATTAAACTAGTTGTCAACGGCTTGATGTCACTATCAGTTAAGTGTGGTTGTCTTATCGGCACTCCAAGTGGATAACCAGTTGTGTTCGTGTCAAAGTTAACAAGCAGCTGACAACGCCTCGATGGTAATAAAAGCAATGCAGCCGTCAATTCACAGAGTGCCACAAATTTAACTAGCAGTTAAAAAGAGATTACCAAATATTCAAATCGCGACACGCTCCCATGTGGAGCACTGTGCGAGGAGGCCACGCAACGGCATTTGCGGACTTGCTACATGCAAATTGTGGCCAAGCGCGATGTGTCAACAACTCTCGGCGATCGCATTCAAATTTGGTGTTCCGTCGAATCCTGCTAACCCTGCCCCCGTACCGCTGTTCACCCCAGGGCAATGCACGCGCCAAGGCTTTTCCTTGCATCGAACCGCTAATCGCCTGAATGGGGCATGGAAATTGAAATTGGAAATTGGAGCTACAGTATGTATGTATGTATGTAGACTATGCTATATGTGCATCTGTGTGTGAATAGATGGAAATGATACGCACGCCAGACGCAGGTGACCGACTTCCCAAATGCAACGTGATGTGAGTGAGCTCCACTAAAGGCGATTTCTGTGCATTGTCTTCACTGAGGGTGGAGGCGTGCCCGATGTGAAGCCGTTGATATTGAGCACGTAGCCCAAAAATGGATGCCATGAAATGGCTCTTAATGCTCACTAAATAAATACTTGGCATGCATGGACGATAATATTGATATTAATATTAAGCGACAGCGGAAGAAAATTGCACAGAACCGAAAGATATTCGCTTGGATTCCATGTAAGTTGTTCCGACTCGAACGAACTCGTTGCGGCTTCCGCTTAGCTCCCTCTACGCTCTGTTTGAACTCTGCAGTTTAGCCCGATCAATCTTAATGGCCTGGCCTCACACAATGGCCCGGAATATGAGATGCGTATAAATATTTACGACCCTTAATTGGTAAAGGCTTCGACGTTTGGGGCAACGGAGAGCGAGATTTTAGATACCAGCTGAGTGCATCGTTGGAAATTTTGCAAATGGCAAATGGCAAGTGGCAAGTGGCAAGTGGCAAGTGGCAAGTGGCAGCTGGCAGCAGGTTTGTCTTTTTGTAACTCGTTGCAATTGTAACTATTTTCTTATTCGCTACTTTTTTTTCTAGCTACTATTTCTCACGCTTCTCTTTCCAATTCACTCGTTCCTAGAACTAGAGCGAGAGCTAAAATTTACGCTCTATCTACTCGCTGAAATTTATTCGTTACTTTTTTTTAACAGTCGTTACTTTCGGCCGGTTGTCACTCTTTAGCTTTTCACTAGTTACTCGCTGCCCAAAGTTGCCGTTTAGAGATTTCTCGACATAGATAAAAGCTCGATTTAAAAAAAATTTTTAACACTAGCTGTTAACAGCTCGTTCAATTTTATTCACCAGTTGCCGATTGCTTGGCCTATTTTTCGTTACAATAATGTTAATCAGTGTTTGAAAATTCGATGTTGTTCTCGCTGTGTGGCTCGCAGTATCTTATATTTGACATTTCTTTGTGGAAAGCTCGGCTACTCACTAACTTATGCCTGATTCTGATGCCCGATTAATATTGCTCAACCATCCTGTCTTGTTCGACCTCTCCGGCTTACGCTATATTTAAAAATAGGACAACATTGCCAACACGACTAACATTTGGATCATGACATTTTGCTTTGACATTAAATAGCGAACGGCTGAATCATTATCGAAGGTATAATGAATAATGCCGCGCTTCGTTCGCAACGTATTTGCCTCCAGTACTGATTCAGTGACACCATCACGCTCCAGTATACACTCATGCATCAGGTCATCTGTGAGCTGGATGTGAAATGGAAAGCAATACATTCGGGCCGATCGTAGCTTGACAGTGCGCTTGCCGCCGAATTCGTCGAAGCATAAGTACTCATTAACCTCGAGCACTTGGATGCTGTAGCAGTAGTGCAACTGGGACTCCTTCAAGGACACCAGAATATGATCCAATGATTCCGGCATAAAGAGTGCCATGCGATCCGTTTGCTTCATGAATGTATCACGGAATTTCGTGTAAGCCACCAGCGGAAATTTTCCTTTGCACTTCTGAAACATTACCTCATTGGAGGTCTGCAGATATTTACACCGCTCTGGCATTTCCGGCTCGGAGGGTGTATCCATTAATGTGGAGCCAACGCTGCGCAAATTCAACTGCAGTAGTAATAACATATGCAGCTTCAGCCGCAATCCCAACATGTTACAAACAGTGAATTTTGACCAAAATAATGCATATATATGAACATAAATACACATACAGATATATAACTATATATCTATGTATATCAACTACTATATATTTCTGAACTATATACGTTGATGAACGATGAACAAATATTGGTTTCCTTTTTTTTTTTTTTTTTTTATTTTCATTAACGTATATAACTATACAAAAATTTTGAAATGAAACTAGATGCTATGTAAAATGTCAGCTTGATGATAAATAAATCTGAAATACTCCATGATTTTGACAACAAACTAATCAAGTTGGTAGCTTCAAAATCTCAACAAAAGACTTTTGTATAACCATTTTGCAGTATGACAGTTGTATTATAGCAGTATAGCAGTATAACAGTTTTATTGTATAACAGTTTTTGCAGTATAACAAATTTTTGTATTATACATTTAAAGAATACCAGTTTTGTAGTACAGAAATTTGCAGTATAACAGTTTTACGCCGTAAAAGCCAAACAGTATAACAGTTTTACAGTATAATAGGTAGAACAATATAACAGTTTTACAGTATAGCAACTGTATAACAGTATAATTATATAATGTAGATATAAAATAGCACTAGCTCAATCACATTTCAGTGTAAAACAGTTCGAGTTCTATAAAGCACAATTATAGGTTTGCTTGCTTACAAATATGTGACAAGTTTTTCCATTCAAAGAAAATTTGAAAACTCTATAAATTTCGACATTTTAAGTTTCCGGAATAAAGTAAGTTGCAAAGCTGCCCAAATAATAAAAGCATTTGCTTTCATTGCACACAATTGGAACATGCTGTAGCCGTGCGAACTAGGTAAATTAACAATTTTAGCCAATTATTTCAGAGGATAGGTAATTCCTACTTGAAGAACGAGTACGCATCGTAGTCTAAATTGCAAATCAGATGTATGTATTTCGTGCAATGTGTGATATTTGACTCATTGGTTCGTGACTTGGTCGAATGTTGATTCAACTGTGTGCGAGATGCCAAAATGCCATTACTCACAGAGCTCAGGCGTTGATTTTGCTGATTTGTTGATTTAATTGTTTAATTATAGAAAATTATTTCAATTAAACGATCTAGCTGGTGCTGCTGCTGTTGTTGCTGCTGCAATAGAGGGTGGTCTCATGGCGAGGGGCGGGCCGAGGCGTGATGTTCGACTGATCGGCAGTCAACAGCTGGAATACGACTCATTCTGATTGAATGTAGTCCAATGCACCATTGAGATGTTGTCTCTGCATACGAATCGGCCACTGCCGTGAGTCCGGCTAATGAGTGTCAAGAGCGGACACGACATGACATGACACGACATCGTCAGCTATGGCGAATACATACAGACAACACCAGCAGCAGTAGCCGTGGTTCCTTTGCCCATAAAGGGGTATATTGAGCTTGTTAGTCAGCTTGTGAGACTTTAGGCTGAAAGGCGGACTAACTTGATGTCTGTGTCTGTATAGTTGAGATTATCTACATACATCTAAATTGATCTATACTACTATAAAATTTATTTTTATAGACTTGCCTGCCTACTTATGTCCTAAAAAAATTCAAAATATAAAAAAAAAATTTTGTCCATTATCCATCTCAAATTTGTTTGTATTCTTTATCGAAAATTTTGCTTGCAAATCTTTACTTATCAAACCTAGGGTATTGACGCGGCGACTAATCCATGGACAGATACCTCGTTTGCTGCATTAATATGCATTTAAATGCACTGCGAGCTGCACTGTTTTGTTGGAGTAATTTCATGATTAATGCAACGGCATATTTAAATATCAATGTGGCAAATTGTTGGACCCCGGTTTCATTTGCTCAGCTGCTGTTGCTCCCCGAAGTTCTTTCAGATTGACTTTTCCGGGCTGCAAGCAGCAGCAGCAGCAGCAGCATCCAATTGATGTTCTATCTCTAGCATCTATCTAAATATATGATTGCATAATCCGCTTGTCACATTGCGGGCTGCTATTGCTGCTGCTGCTGCTGCTGCTTTAATGCCATTTACAGTTGCCGCCGTTGATAACAAGCTGCGAGAGTCAAAACAAAGCACTTGATAAATGCTGCAGTTAGTGCCATGTGAAATGCAAACAAATGTCTGGACACGTGTTGGAAATGGTATCGACTTGTCGGCCTTCAAAGAGTTACGAATTGTAATTAGACATCTATGAAATTAAATTCAAGTTAAATGTTAACTAAATATCTGATCTAACGATGTTGATAGTAATATTGTATATCAGAATCCAGCTGAAATATTGCAATGCAATTTTTGAATCAAAACGTGCATAACACTCATGCGAGCTTATATGGAAACTATGTCAACTATGTTAATTATATATAGTTGTGTAAAGCCAGGAAGAGGAAACTGAAGAATGTTCTAGAGCTGCGCTAAGACTGCTCTCTAGCTAATGTTTTAAATGTTTTTGCTAATTTCAAAGCAAAGTTGTTTAATCTGCACTTGCGAACCACAAATGCTCAATTTTCTGCTCTTTTGTGCCATGCATATGTGAGGAGCTACTATATAAAACTTACTTATGCGAGGTGCGTTCAAAAAGTATTGCGAAACTTCTTCTTGCCCATGAAACTGAAGAGGATGAAGATCCAAGATGATGTTGAGCAAAGATTTAGTAGATAAATAAGGTATCGAAAAATATTTAGAATATCACAGACAATGCATTTTATGAGAATAAAAAAAATACCTCTATATAATAAATATTTTTAAAGGGAAAAACTAGAAACTATAACTTTATAAAGAATAATAAATATTTTCTAAAGCATACACAAAACGAGCGAAAACTCTTACAATACCTCATGTTGATTTTATATATGTATCTTTTATTACCTATTATTTATATTATTCACAGCCCCAAGATAACGATTCTCCTAAGGATTATCGAGATATCCAAGACTCAGTAACATAAAGTCTACTAATTTTGCATTCATACGAACGTAGCTGCCCTCAGAGGGCTTAAGGGCATTTTTTTCTACTGATTTGGGATAAAAGACGAAAATTTTTTATTAAAGTGTCAACAGAGCTTCATTGACGAAGTGAGCGAAGCTACAATGAAAAATTATCAAGCACCACAGAGCATCATCGAACACCACCCGTTGCGTTTGTGCGCGCATTTCATTAAGCAATTTATTAAGTTATTGATTCTGTCTGGGAATTGGAATGGAGCTTAATTAATTTCATATTTCTAAATCCGACAGCAGCACCAACAGCAGCAGCAACAACAATGATACAAACAACAACAACAAGAATCAAAAAAACTAAAGATCATATTTTACTTAACGGCACTTTGTGTATGTGTTCGTCTGCTGTCTGTGCATGTGTGTGTGATTTGTTTATTTACATTTATTTATGCATTTTGTCGATGAAAACAAATTAATTTATCGATTTTGTCATTAATGGGATTTCCTTCCAACGACATTTTATTTATTTTCGTCTCTCTCTCTCTCTCTTGTTGAAAAAAATCTTTTTTCATTTTTCAGTTAAGTGTTGGGCTGAGCTTTACGGGGTAATTTGACTTTGATAACAAGTTGGTAACGCTTGAACATTTCTTCCAAATGTTGCGAGCGATGTTGATTTGAAAGTTGTTGAGCCGCTATTGATTATATTTATTATGACTAACACGAGAATGTTATGTTAAGCATGAGCATTAACTTCAACAGGTTTCTGTAATGTACTAATGTTAAGAAACTGTAAAATCTATAGAAGTTGTAAGCGATTGAGTGAAACAAGAGGAACAGATATAAGGAATGGAAGAAAAGTAAGAGTAGACCTAGAAAGTAGGAGAGGCACAAAGAGAGAATGAGAGCGAGAGTGGGAGAAATATAGAACGAGAATGATAAAGAAAAGAGACATTTTAGAAACATTTTAGAAGAAATTTAGAGAAAATTTAAATGATAGAGATAGAATATATAGATAAAGAGAGTGAGAGTGAG